GGRARRRKTTTTTTTTGCTAACAGACACAACATACTTGAGAAAAGACATTTTTGTCCACTTTCACCTTTTGGTGTTGGGGGATTAATAGGAAAAAAAACATACAAAAAGAAAGGAAAAGCAGATTCTTCACCCCTACTTGAAGCTTTGCTCCAAACCTGCCCAATGCTTCAAATCAGGTGAGCTGTAACTTTCCTGGCTCAATAATTAACCCAGTGCYCGTGCACAGTGTCGTGTTTGTTGAAGGGGTTGGGGGTCCCGGTCTGTTCCCAGAATATCTCTGGGTTAGGAACAGTTGCTTAGCAACAAAACTAAAGGAAGTTACCAGCTATTGGTGAAGATCTCTTCCCAAATGTCAAACTGTTCCTGGTAATGAGGCAGTGAGTGACTGCGGACTTTTCTCACTGAAGTTGAAGCATTTTGTGCAGTTTTCTCACCAATAGATCAACTTTCCCTGTGATTTTGTTATATGTTCATGTTTATTGTTCAAAAAGATGAAGGTGGAGTGATGTTTGTGTGTTTACATCAGGGGTTCTCAAGCCATTTGGGTGTGGGGACCCCTTACAAGGGCAAAAAAAAAAAAAAAATTCCAGGGACCCCCTCATAAATCCCATGCTGTTTTAAAAGATAATTTATTGTCATTTCAACCCCTAAATGCCATGGGAATATATATTGTATTTTTATTAATTTTATTGTGTTTGTTTTATTAGTTCGTGCATTTAAAAAATAAAAACCAAATGATCATTTTAGTAAAATTTTTTGAGGACCCCTAAGATACCTCTCGTAGACCCCTGGGGGTCCAGAGACCCTAGTTTGAGAACTTCTGGTTTACATCACCAAAATATCTCGCAAACTACTGAACAGATTTTAATGAAACCTCCTTTGAACATCTAAAATTGGTTACTGTTTGGAGTCCATCCGTTTCAAGATGGCTGCCACTGCAAAGGATTTTTAGGCTACGTTCACACTGCAGGTTAATACAACCCAAATCAGATTTGTTTTTGTYYTGACAGTCTAAACATGACAAATCCATTGTTTCCCCCAAACCTGACCCAGGTCTTTTCAGTATGTGGTTCTGAATCAGATCTGAGGTTTTTCAATGCGACCTCAGTCTGAACGATGACGTCACATTTCATTTGAGGTGGAGCTGGGCCGCTCGATCCAAGTATTTGGATTATTGATAGCAACCTCATCCAGTTTAAATCTTGTAACACGATATAACCAACGTCCAGCTGCTACAAATAAAACTAGAAATAAGTCCTCCCTTCTTCTACTCTCCGTTCCTCCTTTACTCCACCATCGTGTCTGCAGCTGAGAGCTCCCCCCACCCTCCTGTGGGTGGTACAGATTTTTTTTTGCAAAAAATACCGATTTTTGAGGCTCATTATGCAGCTAAACGTACAAACGAGTCAACATGTATGTTGAAGTCCAGTTGCTTTTTCATTGTTCTGTTAATTTTCCATGTCCTGGATGACTGAGAATCCACAATTGATGGGTTGATACTTTAGTTTGAGCACGTTGCTCTCATTCCAAAAATAAAATACTGCACCAGAGCKTCTGGTCAGAGGTCKGTTAAAATGTGAAYGCTGAACTAAAAAAGCATGTCAGATAATTATTTAATCAGCTCTGATTACACAACAAACACAGAATCGACATGCTAACCSGTAGCATCCATGTTTAGCTACTTCTGTAAACAGTGAGATGAATGTGACRCCATKTCCTTTTCTGTGCGTCAGTTCTTTGAAGAGTTCACATGAAGTCTGATGGAGGTCYCATTTCAAATTTTARTGTGAATGACCATCAAAACKGAGCATTAAAACCTGCTGTGTGAACRAAGCTGCTGACAACCCAAAAATTGGTATATCTCAATGCATTTTACAGACGTTGAGCTAAAACTATAATTAACTATAATTACTATATTAACTACCTAGCTGTATTAACTGTTGGAGTTAACCATGTTTGTTAGCAACATTTTTTTGTGCCACAGAATGGATTTAATGAAATGCTCAAAGTAATAATGGTCTTTAAATTAACTACAGCGGTGCAGTTTAGTTAGATACCGTCTCTCACAAACCAAAACTATGGATAACTCTTAAGTTATCTTCATGCGTGGGACTTGTTTGTCTCCTTAGCATGCTCAAAAACTCACCGTTTTGATAACTTTTAATCCCCCATGCCTTAGCAGCATACTGACCGAGTTAGAAGCTGATAGGTCAAAATCCCTAGGAGGAGTTCGCAAAAGTTCGACATGAGCGAAAGTGAAAATCGGCCAAAATTTGACCTTTGACCCAAAATGGATGASTTCCTGTTGGTTTTAGGGCATACCTCCAAGAGACTTTTTTTCTTGATTTGGGGAGATCTACCCATGTCTCGAATTTCAGCTCACTAGGACTTACCAGTTCCTCTATCTCACGTTAGGTGGCGCTGTCGAGTCATTTGGCCACGCCCATTAAAAATTCCAATAGAATCATGCGATTTTCTTTGTGACCCATCCATGGCAAAGCAGGTAACAACTCTACAACTGATTCTGTTTTGGCATCATCTCAATTCAAGATGGCCACCACAGCTGCACAAAACTGGCTGCACCTAATTGAATTAGACAAAAACTGAGCTAGAATTGAATGTGGTAGTAGCTGAGAGTCATTCAGGTATGAAGAGATCTCCTGAGACGAAGCATAATGTTTTTAGGTTTACCCAGTTAAGTTTGACGTCCYTCAACTTAAAATTACCTTGTGTAATATGCATTTCTTTAAGGAATACTAGGCCTTTAATTATTTGTGTGAATGTCAYTCCACAGCCACACACAAACACTGAATCAGTCACATAAAGTGCTCTCACCGCTGTGGAAAGGCATTAGCCAAATGCTTATTTGTGTTAAATGTGTCGCCACAACAGGGTGTTTCTTGGCTCACAAATTTGATTTTTAAAGCAACTTCACATGATGCAACCAATTAAATTTGTTGGTGTGTGTGTGAGTGAGTATGTGTGTGTGTGTGTGTGGGGGGGCGCTTGACACTTTTGCCGTAATTAACTACGTGGAGCTCGCAATTGGTTTTTAACCTTAACATTTAATCATGTAATTAATGATAATAGTGAAGTGGCCAACACCACCTTCCTGCCAGAAGAGTCCACTGCAAACGGTTGTTTCGACTTCATGTTTTTGGAGGCAGACATCATTTTTGACCTTTAAGACAAGGAGAGAGTTTGCTACCTTGGGCATTTAGTTTTTCATTTAAACTGAATTAATGTCTTGTTGTTATTCAGCCCGTGTGCCTCCATGTTTGCATGCTGCRGCTGTAAGTGGGTTTGTGAAGCCGTAAACTTCACCGGGCATGGATTTGKATTTCATCAGCTGTCACGTTTGCCCGTCTGCACCCTCTCCTGATGGATGATTACCTACTGCTGGCATTTCGGCAGCGTTCGGAGGTTGCGGTCGCTCCCACTCAGATGTGCCACACATCAAGCCGGATGAAAAGTTGTTTACAGCAGCCGGATTTTAATTGCTCGTCAAATGATTGGCTTGATGATAAGACGTGGGGAAATTGGAAGAGACGTTTGGATTTGGACAGTGGATATGAGCCGCTGCTCGCCACACTGTGGTTTTATGGCTTTTATTACTTTTGGCTAAACAAGCAGAGTGATGAGCAGAAGATAAAAATCAGCTGTGGCCATTATTTCCTGTTTCTCCTTCAGT